CCTGCAGCCATGGAGGACCCCACGCCAGAAGAGGTGGATGTGACCTGAAGGAATCTGCAGCCTCTGGAGAGCCCACTCTGGAGAAGGCTCCTGGAGGGAGCTGCAGCCCATGGACAGGAGCCCACCCTGAAGCAGGTTTTCTGGCAGGACCTGAGTCCACTGCTGCATGGAGTTGTTCCTCCCCAGGGGCAGGACACTGCACTTCTTGTTGAACTTCATGAGGCTCCTGTTGGCTGATCTCTCCAGCCTGCTGAGGTCCCTCTGGACGGCAGCATGACCATCTGTTTTATCAGCCACTCCTCCCAGCTTTGTGTCATCAGCAAACTCACTGCGGGTACACTCTGCCCCATCATCCAGACCATTAATGAAGATGTTGACCAGGACTGCACTTAGTACTGACCCCCGGGGCACACTGCTAGTTACTGGCCTCCAACTGGACTTTGCACCACTGATCACTACCCTCTGGGCCTGCTCGGACAGTTTTCAATCGACCGCACTGCCTGCTCATCCAGCCCATACTTCATCAGCTTCTCTATGAGGAACCCACGAAGACAGCATCAAAAGCTTTCCTGAAGTTGAGGTAGACAATATCCACTGCTCTCCCCTCATCTACCAAGGCAATCCTTTCAGCGTAGAGGGTTATTGGCTCAGACGAGCATGACCTCCCCTTGCTCATCTGTCCTGAGCACCTTCCACGTCCTTCAAGTGTCTGGAAACAGCTCCCAGGATTAGCACCTCCCCAGGGACTGAGGTGAGGCTGACCAGCCTGTACTTCCCTGGATCCCTCTTCTTTCCCCTTTTCAAAGATAGGGGTGACATTTGCTTTCCTCCAGTCCTCAGGCATCTCTCCTGGTGACCATAATTGTTCAAAGATTATCAAGAGCAGCTTTGTAATGACATCTGCCAGCTCCCACAGCACGCGTGCATGCATCCCATCACTTCCAGGTCCTTAGGCTCCTGAAGGCTGGTCCTGCTAGTAAAGACTGAGGTGAAGGAGGTATTCAGTACCTCAAGCCTCTTCTGTGTCCTGTGGCAGCACGTCATCCACTCTATTCAGCAACGGGCTCACATTTTCCCTAGTCTTCCTTCTGCTCCTTTACCTACTTACAGAAGCCCCTTTTTGTTGCCTTTGACATTCTCCACCTGATTCGATGCAAGGTAGGCTTTGGCTTTCCTACATCATCCCTGCATACTCAGACAATGCCTCCACTTTCCTCCCAGGTTACTTTTCCCTGCTTCCACCTTCTGTACACTCCCTTTTTAAGTCTGAGCTTTGCCAAGAGCTCCTTGCTCATCCATGCAGACATTGTAGTGTTTTCATGAGTTGTTGCTTTGTTGGGATGGACTGCTCGTGAGCACGGAGGAGGTGGCCCTTTAATATCAACCTTCTTTCTTGAACCTCTCCTTCCTTCCAGGGCCTTAAGAGCAGACCCCAAAAGAGGCCAAAGTCTCCTCTCCTGAAGTCCAGTGTTGTCATCTTGATTTTTGCCCTCAGGACCCTGCACTCTACTATCTCATGGTCACTGTGTTTGACCTTCACATGCCCAGCAAGCCCCTCCTCAATGGTGAGCATGAGGTCCAGCAACACATCTCTCCTTGTTGGCTCCCCTATCGCCTGGGTCAGGAAATTGTTATCAATTCTGTCCAGGAACCTCCTGGACTGTTTACACCCTGCTGAGTTGTCCCACTAGCATGTATCAGGGTGGCTCACGTCCCCTGTGAGGACCAGGGTCAGTGAATATGAGGCAGTTTCCAGCTGTCTGTAGGCAGCCTCATTCACTTGTTCTTCCTGGTCAGATGTCCTAGAGCAGACACCCACCACAGTGTCACCCATACTGGTCAGCTCTTTAATCCTGACACACAAGCTCCCAGTTGGCTCCTCACCCATCCCCAGGCAGAGCTCCAGGCGCTCCAGCTGCTGCCTCACATAAAGGACAAGTCCCCCTCCTCGTCCTCCCAGCCTGTCCTTCCTAAAGAGCCCGTGTCCCTCCATCACAACACTCCGGTTGTGTGAGCCATCCCACCACGTCTCTGTGATGCCAACAAGATCAGAGCTCTGCAACCGCACACAGATCTCCAGTTCCTCACGTTTATTCTCATTAGACGCTTCAGAAAGGCATCTCCTCCTCACCCCTTTTCCCCTCGCTGGCAGGACCGAGCAGACCACCTCCTGGGCCTCCATGCCCCTGCCCATCGCCTCCAGAGCTCTGCAGTCACTTTTTGATGCTCTCTTTGGCAGAATCATTGGTGCCCATGTGCAAGAAGAACAGAGGAGCAGGAGCCTTCCTCTTGGTGCCAGAAGATACCAGCTTCCAGTTTCCATCCTACCTGGGACAGACCCAGCCTCTGTCCCCAGCTGTCCCCTCCTTCTTGCTCTCAGGCACATCTTGGCCCCAGTTTGTACCACGCTCGCTTTCCTGTTCTCCCAAGCTGGTCTCAGTCCCCTGGGTGCTGCAGGATCACCAGGGCCAGGCGAGCAAGCATGGGTGGAGATGGAGGAGAGGGTGGGATTGTCATTTTGTGTGGCAGCGGACCACATGCTGATTTAAGCAGCCCATGGAGCCACACCCTAGCTTTTCTTCCTCTCTAGCCTCTCTTCCTCCTCATCCCCAAGCTCTGTTTTGGCCTCAGGCTCTTGCTCCTATCCTGCCACTCATCTGTCCGCACTCCCAGCAATTCCTGCCTGGAGCTCCATTCCTCAGCGTGCTTTCACCGTAACATCCTCCATCCCTTTGCTTCTACAAAATCCAGAGGGAAAATTTCCATATAAAACAAAATCCGTCCTTGCTAGTACCTAAGGACAGCATTAATCATTCTGGGTTTGGGAGAGGGAGAAAGCAGTGTTTTATGGGGCCATGGGAATTTTTGTTGATTTCCAAGCCTCTTGTTTTCTAAATTAAAACACGAACATGCAAAGGCAGGAGGGGGGTGGGGGAAGGAAGAGGAAAATAGCAAAGATATGGCTGCTGTCTTTCTTGCTTGCTGCTTTGCTGCTGGGAAATTACCAGTGCAGCATGTGGTCCTACTAGCTTCTGGCAGGTTTTAGCTAATAAATTATAAAGCATTGATTTAAGAGGGGGAAGGAAGAAGAAAAAGAAAAGGCAGCAATAAAATTGCTTTTAAATAACTCCAGTGTAGGTGGTGCATAAACAGGATACGTCACAACTCATTGAAAAATTCTTATTGGACAAATAAAGAGTGACAGAAGAAAAAAACAAAGGGGGAGAACAAAAACACAAAGGTACAAGAAAATTCAGAGCTCCTTAATTTATATTTTGTATTTTATTCAAGTTTCTGGCTACCTTGGTGGATTTTGGGTGGTCAAGTCAAAAGAAGACAAAGAAAGAAAAAAAAAAAATGAGTATGAAACATCCCTGGTTACCAGTAGATGGACAACTATACCCAAGAGGGTCAGGAAGTACTTTGAATTCTTGCACATGTTATTGTGCACTGGTCTGTCCTCGACAAAAAAACAAATAAGCTCAGTCTCAAAACCGGTTTGCGTCGTTTATTCATTACTACTACTGCAATCCTCTTCCAGAATTCACTCCTCTGATGATTACAGACTGTCCTCTAATTTTCCCTGTAAATCTATTTCAGTCTGTTCTTGCATCATTGTTGCCCCTAACTTTAAAAAGCTCTTTCCTACAAACACCACACTGGATACAGAGTGTCCTCTGTACCCACTCTCACTCTTCGAGGAAAAGCACAGCTAAAATTAAGGCACCAGGGGCTCCAGGGGTTTTGTCCATCTCCTGTAATTTGAGCCCAGCCCTGAGAAAGGCTACAAAAATGTCTGATACTCACAGACTACCCAGGGTGATCCCTGCAAGTACAGGAAGCCCTTTTTTTTTTTTTCTTTTTTTTTTTTTTTTTTTTTAAAGATCCAGTTTATGGTGGAAAAAAAAGTGCCACAACCCTCACCTTAATCCTGTGTCTGCTTCAGTACTGAAGGTCTTTGCCGAGCTAAACTCGTAAAGGTTTTTTAATTTCCCCTCAAGAGATCATCTTTCCATTTCTCTGGTCATTCTTCCCTCTCTAATTCCAGTTTACCCCTGATAAACAAAACAATACACTCTTCCCCAGCGAGGTGATTTCTAGCAGCAACAGGGAGTATCAGCACAACCCTGCCTGGTATTGCAGGTTAACACAAATCCCCTGCGCAACTGTCATCTTGGTCATTTGGAAACTTCTCGTGACCAAACACCCGCATCCTGCTTTCCAGTTGCTTCATCCCATTCCTACTTGGTCTTCAAGACCATCTAGGTCCTCCTGGAAAGTATTCCTAGTCTTCCATGATTTCTTACTCAGTTGGTTCAGCAAATTCCATCTACACATTCATCCTCCAAGGTCCTTAAGACAAACATTAACTGCAGAGCTATCCTAAAGCCATCCCTGCAACTGTCCCCAGCTGCAGTTACGTCCCTTGTACCCGATTCTGCTCCAACCTCACAACTGAACTTTTTCAGTACAGCTGCTCCTCACGTGTCACTCTAACAACCATCGCACTGAACATCAAGATTAGGATCTACCCATTTCTCTACTCCAAAAATAAATTATATAAGATGTATATCAGATTAATCTGTCATAAACCGCACCTATTTCATCATACCCTTTTTTTCCCCCAAAAAACATCTTGCTCTAGAACGTAACACCGCTGTAATCACACCAAACAGACCCGAAGTTACACGAAACATCTGCTACCACCTCTTGAACATCTGGACAAGCATAATGCCTATATGCAGCACCGCTTCTGTTTTGAACAAAATCCAACCTACCAGGCATTCAAACTCACATACTGCTTTCTTCTTGCAGTTCTGCGATTTAAATGCAGTAGACAGATCCCACCAAGTGACTCAATTCACAAATTCACAAAAATTGCAAAATTGGCCTAAAAAAAGTAGCTGTGAGCCGTTAAGATGATCCACTCAAAACACACATCCAGTAAATCCAGTTCTTTCTATTTCTGAAGTGGATTAGCACACAATTCGCAAAGCCTGTATCCTCGCTGTAAGCCACAAAGATCCCACTGTGGTATTTGGCTGAGACGAACTGCCTTCATCTTATGCATATTCTACACAGAAATAAGCCAGGTAGGATTTCCCTGCTGTACTTTGAACAATTGCAATCCTGTAGCCGCCGCAAGACTAAAATGTAATATTAGGTCAATAATAAAAGGTCAAGCTCTCAATCATTTTTCTAAAGGTCTTTCCACTCTACCTCCTCAACCACAGCATTGTCCCCCTCTCTTCCTCTCGCTTGCTCCAAATCTCCTTTCCCTGCTGTCCAGACCATATCCATATCTTTCTTCCTTCCTCCAAAACAACTGTGACCCAGCCATGTCACTGGCATTTTGGCCACACCTAGGAAACTCATTTACTCATTATCAGTCCTATTAATATGGACTTTACCCAAGGCCATTCCAAAAGATAAGACAAAGTATTTCCCAAGCCACCAACTGAAAAAAATAAAAAAAAAATTAAACAGAAAAGCTCCAAATCACCTTATTTTCCTTTTAAACAGATACGGGAAATGTGAAGATGTCAAAGTAATTCACAAAGTCATGGTAAGAAATTCCAATTAAAGTGAGAAGTCTTTAAGCATCAACATAGGATAAGTTTTCTGTTGAGCAGAGCCAGCTTAGGCTGTCGCCCCCTTCCAATCCAATCACTCCTGCCTCTTACCACAGCTTGCTCGCCCTTCCGCTATACTGCTGCAACTTCTGGATAACTGAAACCGTCAGACTGAAAAATAAGTCTTTTTCCTGGTATTTCTTTTCTTCATCAACCCTGTTGGGTCAGCCGTTCCTTCTTAACCAGGTCACATTCCCATTCCATACTAGGTCCAAAAAGGTTTTTGAGTTAGAAGCACTATAACTGAGCACTTCAACGTCTGCTCAGTTTCCCAGGTTATGATCATGTTAGACGTGCACGTCATGGTTAATAATCCAGATTTGGTGCCATTTAACAGAAGAGCTTCTAAAAACATTAATCAAAAATCCGCCCATCTTATTTTCCATAGGTCAGGGATCTCCATCTTCTAGTACAAATCCAGATGCTGCAGATAAATCACTTTCACCCTTTGTCTTCAGCCAAAGATATTCTTTCTCTTATATATCTATCTATCCTTCCCAAGAATCCTCTTTTTTGGGACAATCAAGTGCCAGGCATCTGAATAATCACAGATGATAACCTTTAGGCCATAACACGGTAGGGACCTGCCCTGTGATTTCTTTAAGCTCTTTAAAAGGCGTAAGTCAAGCCCAAACTTCACTTAAAAAATATCAAGGATATTCTGTACTTTCTCAAGGAGGTATGGGGAAGAGTTTGTGCCTGAACTCTGGGACTAAGATATTCAAAAATACCAAAAAAAAACCCCCCAAAACCAGAGTGCAGGTTTTGTTAGCTTTAAGAAATTATAACAATGTCTTCTCCCACCCCATACAGTTGCTTCTAAAGCAACATCTCAATACAGTGAGAAAAACGTTGGGGACAAGGGAAGAAATACACACCAGTTTTTGCTCAAATGCACAAAATTAAAATACATACTAGATAATCAGTCTCTTGAGATTTGGAGATGTGGTTCATGTCTGAGCTTGCCCACCACTGTTAATGCCACCTCTGCATCTTGGCAGCTTGTCCTGCAACAGCAGCATGCTCTGGATCAAGTACAGGTACACAACCACCAGCTGTGTACCTTTTTTTAATTAGAAGTACCAGTACATAAATCAGCACCTTCTGCCATGGGGAGGGAGTGGTTTTCATAGAATCCCAGAATGGTTTGGGGTGGAAAATCGCTTAAAGCTCATCCAGTGCCACCCCCTGCCATGGGCAGGGACCCCTCCCACTAGCCCAGGTTGCCCAAAGCCTCATCCAGCCTGGCCTTGAACCCCTCCAGGGATGGGGCATCCACAGCTTCTCTGGGCAACCTGGGCCACTGCCTCACCACCCTCACAGGAAAACATTTCACAGCAGAAGGCCACCAAATTCGTCAGGCATGATTCTCCCTTGGTAAAGCTGTGTTGGTTGTCACCAACCACCTGCCTGTTATCCATGTGCCTTAGCACAGATTCCAGGAGGATCTGCTCCATGATCTTGCCAGGCACAGAGGTGAGACTGACCGGCCGGTTTTGATCCACTGCTGGTGGCACAAAAAGATTTGTTATGTTGAATACAGGTGTTATATCAATGTATTCCTCAGCAACGCCATTTCTGCCACTGCCCCAAAAAATAAGTGACCCGGTGCAACTCTGCAGATGGAAACCAGAGTGAGAGCAAGAAGAGAAGAGGACAGGAGTATTTTCCAACTGCTTCTACCACCTAAGGAAGTGTTTGTAAAATCAGTCACTTGATCAACTCCAGCTCCTACCAACATTCTTCTTTTTTCTGACTGAAATAAAAATAGCAACCCAATAAATTAGCTTCATTAGTGCAGAGTCAGAGATATCCACAGCATCTTCTCAGAATGGGTTTGACCGGTTCAGGTCTTCCTATTTCGGGAGCTTATAACACACACTCCCACAGCCTTACCTATGTCCCTCTCACACCGTGTTTAATACCCACCTCGCTTACGTTCATTAACACCCCTGATGTGCAAAACCTTCAGCTTCCTGTGCCTCCTTAGTGCCAGGAGCTATGCAGCATGGTACCCAAGGACGCATGTAATGTCAAGACAACCTGGATCCCTTCCCTTGGTGCACCCCGAGAAGCTGAGCGTGGTACCCATCCACCGCAGGGACCCCGACCAGACCACCCAGTTCCAACCCGTGACACCAAATACCCTGGGTACTGCTAGAAGGCAGCAGGATGGTTTCCATTAGCAACTCCTACATCTGAAGGCACACAATTATGGACATATGGGCATAAATTCTTATTTCCTTTACAAGTGTAATAGTTTTGCTGAAACAGATGTTCCGTGAACAGCACAGAGCACCACCGGGCAGTCTGGAGGACAGCAGATGCAGAGGAAAAGGACTCCCAGTAGCAAGAGGATGAAGGCATGCATCCCGTTGAGTACAAGCGTGGGAAAATGGGGAGTACAAATGGGTAGGAGACGGTTTTACAAGCTCTAATGTTGCCTCTTTTTTTCCAGTTTTTCAATGTTTCTATTTAGAAAAATACTACAAAAAGAATCTCACTTCTAGCAGACCTAACTTGAAGTGAGAGGCTTAAACTCTTTCCTTGGTTAAGTTACAGAATAAATTATTTGATTACAGGCTAAAAATACTTACTATCAAGCATTCCTTTTCTCTTTAAGGAGCTCTTGAATTGATAATCCCACAGCAAAAATTGGAAGCACATTTTTAATGCAACTTATTAACATATTAGCTCACTTTGGAGCACTCACTGTATCCCTTCACCTGAAGGTTTTAATTCCAGACTGCTGACATTTCCTAAAAATGCATTATAGTTGAAAAATACGTTACGGTGTTGACAGAGCCTAGTGCTTGTTGGTTTGCCTTGGGCAAGAAACCCGATTACGTGGCTGCATGGATCCCTTCTAACCTCACCATTTTTCATGACATAGAAACCACTCAGCCATAATCTTTTTTCCTTTTTTTCTTTTTTTTGCTGATGATGAATTTAAGAGAAAGATAACAAAGCACCTAAACGGGACCACAGCGACCTCAATGCTCCAGCAAGACACTTAACAAGCAAAAGGAGGTTCTGGAGCATGCAGGTGCTATAACGGCCACAGCAGAGACTGGTGGTTATCTCCCCAAATGTCTCGTGTCAGTATGGAGTCCTTGTTCGTGAAGCTCATGGAGAAGACTGCACTGGGAGCCTGGCCACCTCTGCTGGCAGCCAGACAACCACGGAAAGCTTACACCTCATCTAAAGAAATAAGAAGAGAGGATTCCTCCTCCTGTTCAACTTCACATCGGTTTATACTTAAATGGGATTGACCATATCCTCCAAAATGAAAATTAAAAAAATAAAGCATATAGTCTTGGTACACAATGAAGAGTATCTGCTCCTCCTCATCAGCAGAGACCCAAGATGGAGTTTCAAAGGGGATTCAGACCCCGTGGCTGCACCTATAAAGGAGGTCCACAAAAGTCAGGGAGACCTCAGCAGGGCAGCACTGGAGCACAGCAAGAAGCCACTACCAGGGCCCCTGAGCCCTCCTATGGAAATGCGGCACTGGGTCATCCCACTCCCGCCCCACATACCGCACTGCTCACCTCTCAGCCAGTCCCATCCCAATACACACTTTACCATGCTGACAGTAAAACCAGCGCCCGATGTTCAAACTGTTACATGGAACATTTTGGCACAAATTCTAGGAAAGGTGAAATTCAATTGTGTCAGATCTCTAGCCATGCTTAGAGCACAAAAACCTGCTTCAGGTAACCCTCTGCTGGTCTTGTTTTGGGTAATGCTCCTGCACACCTCATCCAAGTGATCGTTGAGCTCCAACACCTTACTTTGATGCTCAAGGATCTCCGTAGTCTCCTTACTACGCCCTCTTCTTGTTGGCAAGGGGTAAAAAGAGGGCAAGCAAGCAATGCCAAACATCTCTTCATGCACACACGTCCGGGCTCATGTGTATCCCAAATCCACCCCACAAACAATTTTTTAGGCAAAATGACTCATTTGCCACTACGATTTTTTTTCCCTAGAGGACAATCTCTTTAAACTTGGAGAGATTTAACTAATAACATTAAAATGATGACTTACCAGTCTCTCATTATCTTCTGAGGTTCTCTGGTAATGAGCTGCTAAAGCAACATAATCCTTCGCCTGCTTGTTACACTCTAAACACTTAAGTCCATGACGGATTAGTCTCAATGGGTCCGTATAGAGAGGCAAGGCTGGCTGAGTGCTCGCAGAAATTCCTACCCCACCTGAAGCAGCGCTGGACTTATGCGAAGGAGAGGGCGAGTGCAAAGTCTGAGGAGCCAGAGAGGCTGAAGAGCTTGTAGGAGAAGGTGAAAACATTTGGTCTAAGGAAATTGGTTTCATTAGCAGCTGAGAACACTGCATGATAAATCCTTTGCTCTTGTGATCTCTTGCATGTTTAAGCAAGCTACACTTATTAAAAAAAAGGAGCATAGTTGAACACTGAGTGCACATGACTTCGATATGAACACTTCGCCTACTATAATGTTGAGTCAGGCTCTTCTCTAAGGCAAACGAGTCCCCACATTCCAGGCAGCAATACCCAGAGGCAGGTAAATTAATACTGGTATCAGGTGGAGGGCTAAGGTTTGGAGTATATATTGGCACCGGATTGGCACTCTGTAGGACTTTATTAAATGCCTCCACTATGAGGGGAGCAGCTTTCTTGACTTGGTGCACCAGCGGCACAGACATCTGCGTCACCTGAGGCTGATTTCGCCTCTGTGCGGATGACTTCGCTGTAACAGAAGCAGCAACGCTATGGGGGACTAAATTGAGATTTGCCAAGTGCACAGCTTTGGGAAGAAGGCTGGAGGTGGTCGCGTTGGATGGCTGCACCACCATACCCTGCTGCTGCCTCTTAACACCTACTTTTATGGCACCGCTGCCACAGTTCGGCAGTGGAGATAAGGACACAGAACACATGCTGTTTGCAGCAATATCTGTTTTCATACTGTCTGTGTAAGGACTCAGCTGGATAGCCACAGCAGCCCCATTTTTGGATGAATTCTTGCTAGCCTCACTTTCCATAACTGCGCTAGTGTCAGGGGATGGGAAAGATTTAATAAACTCTTCGGCAGATGAGGTCTCCACAGGTGACTCTTCTGAAGATTTGCCCAACTCATCATTTTCTGGCAAAATTCTAGTTACAGTTCTTTTAATTTCACCAGAGGATGTCTTGATAGTCTTTATTCTAACTTTGGGAATAGCTGGCGGAGAGCCAGCTGCCATGGAAGGAGAGCCCTTCCCACTGCTGTCGCTGCACACGCTCCGAGGACTCTCGGGCTGCTTGCTGGCCTTCCTTACCACCTCTAAGGGGCTTCGGGGACTCTTTGGCGACTTGGGCATTTTTGGACTTCCCTTCATGCCATCTTTAAAAGGGCCAGGTTCCTTGGTAAGATTTGGCTGATCGCCTTTTGGAATACACGCAACCTTTTTGGCCTGAAGAGCTACTAACGCTGCCACACAGGATGACAACTTCGAATGAGTTGGCTTTAACCTCTGGCGAGGCGGTACTGACGAAGACATGTTCAGCTCGGGCACAGAGCCCTTACGTTCTCCTGAATTATTGTGAGGGAGGTCTCCAAACACCAAGCCTTCTCCAAGAAAGCTACTGGTATCTACCAAGTCCTTGCTTGACTCCACAAACCTCTCCGCTGCTTTGTCTTGTTCTCTCCTGCTCATTTCCAGCCTATTCTCCGGCTGGCAGTGGATTTCCATCTTTTGTTCCTTTTTGCAGTATTGATCAAACATACTTAATTCAGGCTCTGGTACCTTCCTAAGATGATCTAGGACTGAAGCTCCTGTTGGTATATACATTGAAGGTGGTGGAAAATACGGAGTTTGGGCACGTTTGGACTTATCACCAATACTGTTCTCTTCAAACGCATCCTCTGGTTCAGGGCTGGAAATCGGGCTAAACTGACTAAATGTTGGCAAAGGCTCCGACTTGGACTGGTCCAGTTTATCAGAGTAACCTCTTGAGCTGTCACCATTAATAAAAGTTGACTCAAACTTGCCATAATTATGTACTAAAGTGTGAGCCTCCGATGGCAAATCGGATCCACGAAACCCATTGTGTAGCAGCCCACTCCCAAGGTGATTCCCCTCCTTTTCTGCTTCAAAGGACTCCTGGCGACTCGTGTTCTTCACTATCACGCTCACAACAGGAGCATCAGAGGGAGGCAAAGAGTGAGATCTTTCTATCTCATCTATGCAGATTCCCGATGACTTTAGGTGATTCTCGTTCTCCTCCCCAGCTGACGGGATCGTCTCCTTGGCATCAAGGCTAGTGGGATCAGGGATGTCAAAAGCAGCCAAGAGGTCATCAAAGTCAGGGGTTTTCATGTCCCCCATGATGACAGCTACAATTAAAAGCAAAAAAAAAAAAAAACAAAAAAAACACCTTTGTCAGGTACATTTCCCTCAAGGACAAACTTTGTAAGACTCATTTGCATAAATACCTTATGTGACAAACACCACAACTGCCCAAAATGCTAATGCAGCAGGGCACAAAGGCTATAAACATCAGCGGCAGAAGCTTCAGCTTCCAGCTTAACTACTCCAGGATTGACCGTTTATACACAAAGATATTAGCCCAGCTTTCTCAACACAGCTTTTAAGACAGCAGTGCCGTTCTGCAGGGCATCATGGGGAAGGAACCTCTTCTGCCCTTGCTGTACCTGGAGGATCAGCAAAAGCTCAGGTACCATCCTCTTTGAGCTGGCAGGGGCAGGTGACAAGTGACAGGAGCTGTATGCTCCTGTCCTGCAACACAACCCGCCCTCTCCAGCTTGCGTGCAGAAATGCTCCTGGTGCTTCAAGCAACATGGTGGGAGACAGCATCCCCTTCTCCCACGGTCCTCCAGAACAGAGCTCAGTCAAAAGTGACCTTATAAATGACACCAAGCTCATGCAGGGGACATCTTTTCAACCTGTCAGATGCATCGCTATTCCAAAAGCAGCCGCTGTCATGAGCCTTGACAGAAAAGATTCAGAAGTACGTTACTACAGGGTTTCTTTTTTTGGTGGGGTTTTTTTCTAGAGCTAATAGACAACGATCGCTGCCTATTTCTCAACAGATTGCCACATCTGAATTCCTCCTTCAAGGAAAAAAGGCAGGAGTAAACAGGTGGCCCAAGAGAAATAAGCCTGAAAAGTGAGAAGACTCCCTACCCAGAGCAACTTAAATAATAGAAGTCTTCAGTAAATATTTCAATACGGCCGCTCAAACCACAGTAAACCAAGCGGGGTTTATTTGAAATAGGGGCAATCCTTAATTAGGTAATGATGGGAGGCAAAATTTTCCAAAGACAGAATAAAGGATCGTATCCAAATCATAATAAGAAATGGTGTTCCCAGACAGCTCTCTCTTTATAAGGCCTCCAGAGGAGAAGTGGGGACTTAGATTCTCACCACAGAGACCTATGACAGCAATAATCAAGCTCTGATGAGATGCATAATGAAAACTGACAGCACAGAATTACTTGAACATTTGTGTTCGCTACCATCAGGGATACCAATTTCCCCCTGCTTAATCAAAACATTTTCAAGTTGATGCAATATATAGACTTCCCAAATATTTAAGAAGCCATTCTTTTAATACACGTTCCATTTAAACCCCAAATTTATCCAAACCGATGTACGCTGTATACAGGGGAGGAAAAAAACCCAAAGAGCGTCAACTGAAGTAGCAGAGCATCAGCTCCTACTTTGCAAGGAGCACCCACAGGCAAGGTAACTCCTGCCACGCTCCCTTGACTCAGGTTGCATCAGCACTGCCAAAGCCAGTGGCAAGCGAGACTGAGAGGGTGGGAAGAGCCCAGGAAAACGGGGAAGAGCTGGGAGCAGAGGTGCAGGCAGAGAGGAGGACCCTGGGACAAGGCAGAAGGAAAGACAGAAGCTGTCTGATACCTTCCCCAAAGGCTATGGATTTAAGGCTGCTTGCATTATTTACAATCGGGTTTCAAAGTTTGTCAAGCGTCACATTAAAACCAAACAAAGCACAACCCTTCCTGCCAGGCTGCTGGTATGGGGAACAATTTACTTAGCTGGGCCAGGAGAAATCACCTCAGTGTGGAACAAGAGGACACGCTGGTCTTTGAGCTTTAGTTCAGCCGTGCCTACAGACAAGCCCCAGAGGTGTTCCTTTGGTTAATCTACGGCAAAACACTCTGCGGAGATTTACTTGGCTTAAGAGCGGCTCGCTGTGGTTTAGCTTAAACTTGCTCTCGTTCTTAAATTAAACCACAAATATGAATGTCCACAGAGGGCTGTGCAATAATTTACAATCACATCCCCACAGCAGGGTAGGGCAGCTGTGCGTTAAGTTCCTGGAAGCCCAGAAGATTATCCATCCGCTTCACATCACCAGCACTTGATAAGGACTTCTGAAACATCGCAGATTACTGCAGTTGGCAAAGAGCGTGGACCTGAAACTTCCCTTTCCTTTGGGTGGGAAAACTTGTGCCAGCTGGGAGAGAGCTAGGCACCACTTGGCTCCCAGAATTTCTGGCAGACAAATCCCTTCCACAAGGAAGACATTTCATTCATAACCTGGAATGCTCAAGTTTTATGCAGAGAAAAATGAGCTTGCCAATCGTTCTTGGCTTTTCCATTCTCACTTTCGAATACCTATCCACATCTTTGGGCGCGGCAGTGTTTTAAAACACAGACAACTGGGATTTATTTTGTCTTGTATCTGCAGCATGACAAAATGTGCTTTTCTTGGAAGAAACTTTGCATTTTCAGAAGCTTTCACATACGTCTTTGAGTCCTACAAAAGACTAGTTTACGCTCTTTATTATTAGGAGGGGACAAGCCTCCACTCAAAAATTTCTCCACAAAATTGTATCTTCAACTTGTCATACATGAAGCTACAATTTCTCAAAATTAAGCAAAACTGGACCCAGATTCTAGAGAAGATCAAGTAAGTGTCTTGCTGATAGAGGTGATTTTTAAATGAGACAATTTTGAAATTTTGACTAAACACCATTTATTTCTGTTCTCATATAACAATCAGAAAAAGTATATTAAAGGAAATTATGCCAAAGACTCCTGCAAACTAGCTTGTGAGGAAAGCTGCAAATAAAGAGCTCCATCCTTCTTGTGCAAAGGACTTGCCTTAGAACCCAAGCTTGGAATCCAACTTTCTCTCTCTGCTTGCCTATGAAAACATGGAGGTTGAGATTTGCAGAGCAATTGAAGAGGTGAATAAAATGAGCAAAGAGGGAGGACTTGCAGAGAACGTGCGTATTTCAATGCGCAAAACCAACCTCATTACAGCACGTTTCTCCAGGAGGCAGGGAGCCTAGAGGCCTCCAAGCCATCCAAAAAAAAAAACCCCTGCAAACCTGCTCAAGGCAGTATGCGAAACCCCGGGACCTTGTGCTGTGGCTAAACTCCAGAACAACGCAGTCTGGCAGAGGCCCGGCAGGACCAACGTCCCACACTCGTGCCATACAAACCTTTCCCTGGTGGTGCTACTCCTGAGGACTTCTGGAGATTCGCAGTAGCTCCTCTGCAGCTTTCAAACCAGCGTGTACCATACTGTTCAAGGAGGTGGTTCAAGATTGCCACCTAAAAGGTAAGCATGAAAGCAGTTACACCAAGGTTAAATAATAAAGGAAAATCATTATAATAAATATTGATAAATCTACAAAACAGTGAGGTACAAGGGAAAACATCCGCCAAGGGCTGCTCCCATGGGTCCAGAAGAGGCAGGCATCTCCCGGAGGGGATGCAGGAGGGAGGCAGACAGGGGTTGCCAGCCAGGGGACACTTTGGGAAGGCAGGGACGGAGGAACAGGGGCTGAGGGAGCCCGGGGAGCCCACACCAACTGGCAGCGGGCAAGGGAAGCGGCTGCCCAGGGGCTGTCAGGGCTGCGGGGAGGGCACGGCAACGGGGGAAACCGCAGCTGCTGGAGGACCAGACCAGCGGCTTCCAACGGCAGACAGGACCCGGTGTTGTAACACCCGTTAAAGTTTCAGGAGCCCTGTACGGGAACGCGGCGCGTCC